GAACGTATTGACTTGTGTGATTGGAGAGCAGAGAGACAGAGAACATGATATTCAACATAGATCATTGGGAGTCATTCCGCCTCCCATCTCCATCTCTCAGTACTATTTTTCTTTCTGTATCAGCTTCATTCCCTCTTAAAGTACTATAGGCATCTTTCACATAGCAGTGAAGAGCACCCATCATGAGTATTGGCCTCAATTCCAGCATTATAACATGAGGCTCAATGGCAGAGCCAGCTGCCTGTCCAACTTTAACATAATGACTGGCTCAAGTGGGATTGCTTACACATTACTCAAATAATCATTATTGTCATAACACACACGGTGTACGTATGGCCAAACCCCACCTCCTGTGATCAGAAGTGTGGAGTTATGTTAGTGATAGCCCCATTAGAACCACACCGAGTGGATGTGGATGGTTTCTCTCTACACAAGGGATGCCAACCAGCTAAAATTTCTTACGCATACATTCACTTTAACTCTCTGTATCAAAGCCAAAGTTTGAAAGTTATAGCTAGAGTTACTGCCAGCATCATCTTTTCACTACATCCTGGCCACATTGGCCCCCTCGCTGTTCTAAACAAGTCATACACACTCCTGCCTCTGACCCTTCATACTTTCACTTAGCTTCCCCCAAGAAATCACATGGTTATTTCCTTACTTCCTTAACATCAGTGTTCAAATATCACCTTCTCAGTGAAGATCACACTAAAATGGCAATATTCTTATGCCTCTACACACATACATCTCTAATCTTCCTACCCAGCTTTAGCTTTTTCCTAAGCATTTATCACTATCTAATATACCCTGTGGGCGTCCCTGGTGGCTTAGAGTAAAGAATCCACCTGCAATGCAGAAGACAAGGGTTCGATCCCTGGGTTGGGAAGACCCCCCTGGAAAAGTAAATGGCAACCCACTCCAGTATTCTTGTCTGGGAAATCTCATGGACAGAGGAGCTTGGTGGAACAGTCCATGGGGTTTCAAAAGAGCTGGACATGATGATTTAGCCACCAAACAACAACAATATACCCTGTATTTACTTATCTTACTATCTCAAGATCATAGCATATGAGAACAGAAAATTTTCTGTTTCATTACTCCATCATATATCTCCAGCACTTAGTACAGTGCCTAGCATGAATATTTGATGAATGAACAAATGATGGAATTGAGCAAGGGTGCCTTATCACTCTCAGTATCAAATGATATGCACTACAGTATTACACAGGAAAGAGTATAGAACAGTACAGTCCATGAATACAGGCCTCATTTATCAAGTTCCCTGGGCTACCATGGACTTGCCTGGCAGCTCAGATGGTAAAGAATCCACACCCAGTGCAGGAGACCTGGGTTCAATCCCTGGGTCAGAAAGATCCCCTGGAGAAGGGAATTACTCCCTACCCCAGTATTCTTGCCTGGAGAACTCCATTGGACAGAGGAACCTGGTGGGCTACAGTCCATGGGATTGCAAAGAGTCAGACATGACTAAGAAACTAACACTTTGACTTCTCTTTTGCTGGGCTACCACAGTTTAGTGAGTATGTCTTGACCTCTGTGCTGTGGAACTAGATCAAGCGTGGGTTTTCCACAGTTCTCTGGGATGCCCCTAGGTCAATTCAAGCCCTTTCTCACATCCTAGTTAGGTCTCTGCAATCTGCTGACTAAGTAGCTGCTTGGTTTCTTAATCCACACTCCTTTTCCCCACAAGGACTTAAATCCTCTTCTGAATCATATGACACCCTGCCTAGCCAGGAGGTTTGATTCTGACTCCCAATTCAAAACTGTTAGCCAGGGTACTACTTCAGCCAGACAGACCACCTGGCAAGGTGCTGCCCACAATCAGAGACAGAATATTGCCAGAAAACAGGGAATACTGTTGCAACATCCATCTGCCAGACTGGATCCCCAACAATATTGATTTGGTCTGACATTCCTGGACTTTGAGAATTCTGTTGCAGGAAGGAGGACCCCTTCTAGAGCCTAAGGGTGGGCTCTTGTCAAATACTCAGAAATGAATTGTCTGAGGAGATACATGTGCTGACAAAGCGAGAGATTTTATTGGGAGAGATTTTATTAGGAAGGTGCACCCAGTGGAGAGCAGAAGCATAAGTGAACCTAGGAGGACTGTTCTGTCACGTGGCTCACAATCTCGGGTTTTATGGTGATGAGATTTGTTTCTAGATTGTCTCTGGCCAATCATTCTGACTCGGGGTTCTTCCTGGTGGCCCATGCATTACCCAGCCAAGATGGATTTCACTGAGAAGGCCCCTGGAAGGATAGGACATATGCACTGGTGTCTCCTATTGACTTTTGACTGTACCCAAATTCTTCCAGCTGATGGTGGCTTGTTAGTTCCATGTTCCTTATCAGGCCCTCCTATCATAAAATAACTCATGCAAATAGTTACTCTGGTGCCTGGTCAGGCGGCGGTTTCAGTCAGTGCTTCCCCCAACAACTCCTCGTGCACCCTAAGATTCCCATTGCAGCGCCACAATGGGATTATCCCCTATGCCAATTCCTCCTGTTTCCAAGCTTCCCCCTCTGACTGCAGACCTCATGGTGATGAATGCCCCATGCAGGCTTCCCAGAGTTCCTCTCAAACCCTATAAGAACTAGCAAAAGTCTTTCATGCTTGGGCTTATTTCCATACCTGGGATCCTAAGTTTAAAAATTAAATGGCACATATGAAAGCACTTTCAAAGTTCAGTGTTGAAAGTGTTAGTTGCTCAGTCATGTACAACTCTTTGTGACCCCATCGACTGTAACCCACCAGGCTCCTCTGTCCATGGAATTCTCTACACAAGAAGACTGTAATGTGAAGCCATTCCCTTCTCCAAGGGATCTTCCTAACCTAGGGATTGAACTCAGTTCTCCGGCATTGTAGGTGGATTCTTTACCACTGAGCCACCAGGGAAGCCCTCAAAGTTCAGAGTTGTCTGCAAATGTACCCACATACATATTCAGTGAAAAAAAGATGGACTATTTAATAAGTATTGTTGAGACAACTGGCTAACCATTTGGAAAAAAATTAAGCTGAATTCCTAGCAGACTCTTTTTATTAAAACAAACTCCAATTGTATGAAACATTTAACTGTAAAAAAACTTAAACCACTAGAATGAAAGATAGGTTAATTTGTTTATAATCCTAGAAAATTTTTCTAATCATGACACAAAGCTTAGAATGCTTAAGAGACTATTCAGTTTGGCCACTTACAAATTAAAAATCTACAATCAAAACCCTATTAAAAAGTCAAAAGTAAAAAAGTTGGGGAAAATATTTTTAAAACATGACAAACAAAAGGTCAATGTTCTCAATAACTAAACGGTTATTATAAATCATTTTAAAGTGAATAATCTAATATAAAACATGATTTTTACAAAGTATATTTATTCTCTTTAATAATCAGGAATATATGAACTAAAAAATGTTTTTTTAATTTGTTCAAATATGTATGGCATGATTATACAACATTATAATAGCCTACTTTTATAATGCCTAATTTGATGTTATAAGATTTTGTTATTAGGAAGTAGTCCAGAGAAGGAAATGGCATCCCACTCCAGTACTCTTGCCTGGAAAATCCCATGGACAGAGGAGCCTGGTAGGCTACAGTCCATGGGGTCACAAAGAGTCAGACACGACTGAGCGACTTTACTTCACTTCCACTGCAATTTCTTTAAAAGATAATTTTTCTACAGAAATATGAAAAATAGAAATGCACACAACCTATGCACCAATCAAGTCCTCTTCTAGGGATGTGTCCTACTTCCACAAGTGTGAAAAAATCTCTCTTTATGAGGGCTCATTGTAGCACTGTTGTAACAAAACCTCATTAGTGATCAATAAGACATGGGGGAAATAAATGGAATAATGTGCCTCCATTAAAAACAATCATTTATATCAAGTATGTATTGATACAGAAAGACTTTCAAATACATTGTTTAAAAAATGTTAAGGCTTTAGAACAGTACTTTGAGTTAAATTACAAATATGGTAACATATATCCAAAACATCTGAATGTTTACAATAAAGTGTTTTCTTAGGGAGGCGTGAGACTAGGGGATGGAGGAAAGCCTTAAGGCCTATCGCAAAGATCAACAAAAAATTAGCCGGCCAGCAATTTCAGGCTACTTTGTTGCCTGAAACAACAAAGCTCAAAGTTGTTGATCTTGTTCACTAATTTTTGTATGACATTAACTCAAGAACTGCCCTGAAATAGTCAATGAACAACCTGAGCAATCGCTCAAGAGATCATGAGCTAACGTTGCTATGCTGTTTGCTGCTAAGGTTTTAGAAGACCTATCGTCTTTTAGGTAGAAATATCTTTCAGATACTCATTTTATTACGGTCCCTCTATCTCCCATTCCAGCACTGATGAGTTTGATTGGCTTTAAGAAACTTCTGAAATAAGATGTCATTATGTAACTTAAATGAAACAACTCTTGAACACCTGTGTAAACTGTTTTTTTTTTCTTTTACTCTGTAAGAAATCTCTAAATTTTAATGACATTTCCTGCAGCTCTAGGGAAGAAGAATGAAGTACGAACTGTTTGCACCCTGAAAACCAGGTGCTTTTGAACGACATTTCTCACCCGCCCTTTTCATTTCTGCGCAAGTGTTTTTTCAACAACCAGAAAGTGTGAAGAGTAAACCGCCCTGAAATCCACCAGAGCTTCACACGTCTTCTTCTCTTGAGCCTAAGGGCTCACACAGCCAGATATGTTTTTTCAGCTCTGAAAAACGGTAAACAACCTCCCCAAAGCGACATGCAAGTCAAAGGCACAGTTGTCAGGGCCAGAATGTGAAAAGCACCCAGCCACTTTTTCCCCCGCTGCGGGCAACACCTGTCTCCAGCTCTTGGTATACAAAGAATCTCTGCGGGAACCAAAGAGGCCATTAGAAACTACAATTCCCAGCAGGCTTAGCGGGGTCCGGGTCACGCAGGCGCATTTCAGATCCTGGGAATGAGGGCCCGAGGTGGGACTTCTAAAAGAGGAAAATGGCAGCTCACCGGCTGCGGCCGGGCGTGTGCAGGCTGTTTGCTATGGGACCAGAGCTGGGGAGCGCAAGACGAGCTTACAGCGCGTTCCAGGCCTTCACGGAAGTTCTACGGCTGCCGAGCAAGCAGCTGACGAAGCTGGTCTTCCCGCTGCAAGAACTCCATGGGCATTTCGTCCCGGGCTCGCGGCCAGACCTTCACCTGAATATCTTCCACCCGAGCTTGGAGGACATCGCGCGGGCGGAGAGCTTCTTCACCGCCTCCGCCCGAAACCGCATCGAGTACCTCACCGCGGCGGTGCGTCTGGACCACGCCCCGGACCTTCGCCACCCGGAGGTGAGCGCCGCAGCCACCTGCGGGTACTGAGGGCTTGGGCTGTGATTTTGCTTTTAAAAAGAAAAGCCATATGTATTAATAGTTAGTATCAAAAATACTTTGTTGCTTTCTACACTCACACTAAAGGAGAAAAGCATAAATGGAACAAGAAAGGTCAAGAGAAAGAAATAATTATGATGTTGTAATGGTGTACTTTGATAATTTGTGGGAAAACGGTTTCAAACAGGAGTGACTTTAGAGCCAGTTTTGTTGAAATGCATGTAATTGTTAACTTCAAAAAGCTTTGAAAATATGGAATTAATAATAAGTGTTGCAGATGTTCTTGAGTGGCATGTAATTAAAAGCACAGGTACAGATATAGATGTCTGGATTTCAGTTTCCAGCTTCTTCACTTTCTAGCTGTATAATTTGGGGCTGGATATTGAACCTCTCTGCCTCTGGTTTTATCACCTGTAAAATGAGAATACTTTTACAGTTTATGAGACAGATAACTTATAATATTATCTGTCTCATAGGGATGTTGTAAAGAGTAAATAAGAAAATAACAAGTGCTTTTAAAACAGTACCTGCCACATTGAAATCATTTAATATATAGTAGCTGTATATTAGAATTTGAAGGTTGACTAACCATAAGCTACTTTTTTATGGTTAGTCAAGGCTAAATAGTATTTACAGATTTTTACAGGTAATACGGGTTGGCCAAAAAGTTCATTTGGGTTTTACTGTACCAGCTTACAGAAAAACCCAAATGAACTTTTTGGCCAACCCAATACACTAGTACTCAATTATCTTCTTTTTGCCTGTATAAGGTGTGTTTTATAGGCAGAAGCAATGTTGGAAAATCCTCTCTAATAAAGGCTTTGTTTTCACTTGCCCCAGAGGTTGAAGTTAGAGTCTCCAAAAAACCGGTATGTCAAAATTTAAAACATATCTGAACTACCTCTGAATTGACTAAGATGACTAATAAATATGGGGGGGGCGGGGGGCGGGGGTTAGAAACCATAATTGCTAAGTTCCTAGAAAAGTGATTTCTTTCAAACAAGTGCTAATGTAAGACATTTCATTAATGCCGGTGTATTTCTCTGAAGAAAATGGAAGTATATCTGGATTTATTTTAGTAACCTGGCCAGTATCTTGAGGAAATTTTCCTTGGTACAGACTTTTCTCAAGAGTTGTTCCATTGTCATTCTATATTTGCTTCTATGAGAATGCTCATCTAGTTCAACATTGATTTTTAAAGGAAACAGCTTTCAAGTGTATTTTTTTTCCTCCTATAATCTTTTATACCTAGCTAACTCATATATATATATATATATATATACGAATCAGGCACTTCCCAGTTTACCCAGGGCCAAATTTATATGCCTAATATCCCAGTCAGTCTGCTGTAGTAGCTTTTTGTCATTTTCTCATTTCTTCTGCTTCCTTTTCAATAATACAGACTCTACCAATATTTAAGGTACCCTCTCCTCACCCCAGGTCCCCTCACCTATCTATCCTTGGCAAAATATTCCTACCAACCCAGCCCTCACTGCCCCCATTTCCTTACATTAGAACCCTTCCCTGAGGCTTCACTAATCTTTTCTTACTCCCAGTTTCTTCACATAGTTGATTCCCTGATACTACCTCTGATGACTATAGTCATTTGTTAACCCTCCTATCCTTACTCCCTTGTGCCCTGCCTCATCAAATGCCATAGTTCAACTCTCACTTTTAGGTAGGGGTGTTCCCTTTTTGCTGTGAGAAGGCTGAAGAACTGTATTCTTGACATTTCTAATCTGTAATTCTAAAGTTATTTTCCTATAGATAGACACATAATCTGCCTGGGAACCTAAGCATCATTTATAAAACCTCTCCTGAGTTCTGAACAGTTGACTTTTAAAGTTTTTTGTCATAATTTTTCCTTTTCTGATTAATAAATGTCCGTGGACAGAAAACCATGTGAATAAACTATTTTTATCATCTTTACATTAGTTGTAGTTGCACAAGTACTTTACAGTTGTACATGCTTTTTAAAAAATGGCTTAATGAAAGCACCAAACCCATCTAATAAAACATTCAAATTGATTTTGGGCAAGTAATACTCTAGCTACACTATCAAACTTTGCATCTAGTTTTTATGAAAACTTGTATGACTGACAGTAAGCATTTAATTTATCCTGTCTGTGCATTAATTCATTTAAAGTGGAGATAATTCTTTAAAGTGGAAATATATTATCCATCAGAGAATATTGACTAATGCAGTCATACTATTTAGACCAGTATAACTTTTTCACTGGGAGAGAACTAATGAAATAGGAAGACTTGAAAATATTTTGCCTGCATATTTCTAATATGGAATTTGAAGTTCTTAAATCATATAGATTCTCTTTTAAAAAATGAATTGGAAGGAGGAAGTAGTATCATCTAAGCTTATCTCCAGCCACTTCTCTTCTGTTTCTTTTTCCTGTATCGTCATCTGCATAGGGTTATATACAGAATACTTTTATGTGTTTAATAAGTAATTATTGATTGAACAGAAAATATTTTGAGTCATGAAATATATATAGGACATATTTTAAGAAACTTATATTTACATTTACTTTATCAGGGCCATACAAAGAAAATTAATTTTTACAAAGTTGGAAAATACTTTACATTGGCGGACATGCCAGGTTATGGCTATAGAGCACCTGAAGATTTTGTTGACATGGTAGAAACCTACCTAAAAGAACGAAAGAAGTAAGAAGCTTTTTTTCTTTATAATTCTTATATTTAACCCCTAAACATGTTTTCATGAATAGAACATTCTATACATGATGAACTCTTCAGTTTTATCAAATAACTTTTCTAGAAAGTTTCCTTTATTCTCATAATATTCTGTACTGTTTTGGAGGAAGGTATGTACTGTCTGCTTAGTTTTTTTTCCTGTAAATTATTTTAAATGTAAATTCAATTGTTTTCCTTTATTGAGACTATAAGTAGTACATCAGCAGACTTTATTAATTTTTTATACCAAACTCTTAGCTGGCTATTTTTAAAAATGAAATTTGTTGGTTAATGGGGTGTTTACCAGATTTAAATAAACTTCAGTAAATTCTGGTTATTCTTAAAATACTTCTGATATCACAGCCTCGATAAATACTACCTTTATTTGTCTCCATAGGTAGCCAGGTAGCAGGTCTATGTTTCAAGCATTGCACAATATATGGAAAAATTAATGTTAAACTTTTGAAGTATAAAAAAGTGTTTGTAAGTAATTTACCTGTTGTATCTTAACATAGAAGCTAAGATAAAATACTTACACAAGAAAATACAAAATATAATGTGTTTGGTTTTGTTATTTGCTGGTCTTAAAGTAATATTTGAAGACTTAGACACTTTTATGGTAACTTATAGTTAACTGGGTCCCTGTTTCATTCTCCCACTAGAGTTCAGTCACTTAGAGGAAGGGGCTTATTCATCTTTGTATCCAGTTCTAGGCAGAGTGTCATATGTTCAATATATGCTATTGAAATAATATTAATGAGTCTAGCTATTGAACGTAACCAACACTGAGACCTATTGGAACTTGGATGGACTTCATGGTAAATTAAGAAGTCCTTTTGCCTAAAGAAATTTTTAAATTTTGATCTGATAATTTTTCAAAAGACAATTTCTTAGTATAGTGAAGGTCGGGGTGGGGGGTGGAAATGAATGAGTATATTTTTCTTTGCTGTTAATCTTCATTTCTGCATTCCTACAGTTTGATGAGAACATTTTTATTAGTGGATAGTGTTCTTGGAATTCAAAAAGCAGACAACATTGCCATAGAAATGTGTGAAGAATTTGCATTACCTTATGTGGTAAGTGTTTCTTTTGACTCATGGTTTGCACTCAGAAATATGAGTTCCCTGTGTGTCTGTCTTTTTAATAAATGAGTACATCTCTCCTCCTCAAAAAATAAAGGAGTACCTTTTAAACTGTCTTTTCAATTATTAGCCATTAATATTAAAATAAGTTCTGTGGTACTTTTATTCCCTTTCCTTCTCCTAGCTTTTAAATTCTCAAAATTATAGTCAAAGTTTTCTAAACTGTTCATCTAGTGATTCTAAATGCTTTTCTTTGTTTTTGTTGTTGTTTGTTTTTTCTTTTTTAAATGTCTAGAAACATTCGCTAAAACTCCTTAGTTAATTAACTAACTAGTTAGTTAAGTCGCTCAGTCGTGTCCGACTCTTTGCGACCCTGTGGACTGTAGCCCACCAAACTCCTCCATCCATGGGATTCTCCAGGCAAGAATACTGGAGTGGGTTGCCATTTCCTTCTCCAGGGGATCTTCCCGACCCTGGGATCGAACCCAGCTCTCCCGCATTGCAGGCAGACGCTTTAACCTCTGAGCCACCAGGGAAGCCCTAAAACTACTTAGTAGCTCTTTAATAGCACTCAGCAGTGGCCATAGGATTGGAAAAGGTCAGTTTTCATTCCAATCCCAAAGAAAGGCAATGCCAAAGAATGCTCAAATTACTGCCCAATTGTACTCATCTCACACACTAGTAAAGTAATGTTTAAAAGTCTCCAAGCCAGTCTTCAGCAATACGTGAACCGTGAACTTCCAGACGTTCAAGCTGGATGTAGAAAAGGCAGAGGAACCAGAGATCAAATTGACAACATCCACTGGATCATTGAAAAAGGAAGAGAGTTCCAGAAAAATATCTATTTCTGCTTTATTGACTATGCCAAAGCCTTTCACTGTGTGGATCTCAATAAATGTGGAAAATTCTGAAAGGGATAGGAATACCAGACACCTGACCTGCCTCTTGAGAAAACTGTATGCATGTCAGGAAGCAACAGTTAGAACTGGATATGGAACAACAGACTGGTTCCAAATAGGAAAAGGAGTACCTCAAGGCTGCATTCTGTCACCCTGCTTATTTAACTTATATGCAGAGTACATCATGAGAAACACTGGGCTGGAGGAAGCACAAGCTGGAATCAAGATTGCCGGGAGAAATATCAATAACCTCAGATATGCAAATGATACAACCCTTATGGCAGAAAGTGAAGAAGAACTAATGAGCCTCTTGATGAAAGTGAAAAAGTTGGCTTAAAACTCAACATTCAGAAAACTAAGATCATGGCATCTGGTCCCATCACTTCACGGGAAATAGATGGGGAAACAGTGGAAACAGTGGCTGACTTTATTTTTCTGGGCTGCAAAATCACTGCAGATGGTGATATCAGTCATGAAATTAAAAGACGCTTGCTCCTTCAAAGGAAAGTTATGACCAACCTAGACAGCATGTTAAGAAGCAGAGACATTACTTTGCCAACAAAGGTCCTTCTAGTTAAGGCTCTGGTTTTTCCAGTGGTCATGTATGGATCTGAGAGTTGGACTGTGAAGAAAGCTGAGCGCCAAAGAATTGATGCTTTTGGCCTGTGGTGTTGGAGAAGACTCTTGAGAGTCCCTTGGTCTGCAAGGAGATCCAACCAGTCCATCCTGAAGAAGATCAGTCCTGGGTGTTCATTGGATGGACTGATGTTGAAGCTGAAGCTCCAATACTTTGGCCACCTGATGCGAGGAGTTGACTCATTGGAAAAGACCCTGATGCTGGGAAAGATTGAAGGCAGGAGAAGGGGACAACAGAGGATGAGATGGTTGGATGGCATCACTGACTCAATGGACATGGGTTTGGGTGGACTCTGGGAGTTGGTGATGGACAGGGAGGCCTGGTGTGCTGCTGTTCATGGGGTCATAAAGAGTCGGACACGACTGAGCGACTAACTGAACTGAACTGGCAGATAGTACTTATCAGAATGTAAATGAAACTGCAACTGAAAAATTTGCTAAACTAATTTGGAATTTAAGAACATCACAAAAATTTAGTAGGCTCCAGCACACAAAGGTAGGATGTTTATAGTCTTAAGGCAAAGTAAATTTCTTATGAGAATATCTTACCTGTTCTTTCTGTTATTTACCCTAGAATAGAATACAGATTGGTAGGTTGGTGTCCGCAATTATTTTGTTTTGTATGTTTTTCAGATTAAATGGCAGTCTTATAACTTGTTTTCAAAAAATGTCAGAAAACCACTAAAATGTAGTGGTTTTGCAGCTTAATGCAAATCAAACCATGTTCCCAGTCAAAAAGCTATTTGCCTTTGTGGGGTTATGGAATTCTTGGGGTTTCCAAATGCCCTTTGAAACATTACAGATAATTTATAGTTATGAGGAGTCAAAGGACTGATAAACATAGTCTACATAGTAAAAAAAAAAAAAGAAAGAAAAGCCCAAATATCCCCCAACCAGTTTTGTTGTTGTTATTGTTGTTTTTCATTTATTTTTATTAGTTGGAGACCAATTACTTTACATCATTGTAGTGGGTTTTGTCATACATTGACATGAATCAGCCATGGAGTTACATGTATTCCCCATCCCAATCCCCCCTCCCACCTCCCTCTCCACCCAATTCCTCTGGGTCTTCCCAGTGCACCAGGCCCGAGCACTTGTCTCATTCATCCAACCTGGGCTGGTGATCTGTTTCACTATAGATAATATAGTGAAATTATAACATGTATAGATAATATACATGTTTCTCTCGAAACATCCCACCCTCACCTTCTCCCACAGAGTCCAAAAGTCTGTTCTGTATATCTGTGTCTCTTTTTCTGTTTTGCATATAGGGTTATCATTACCATCTTTCTAAATTCCATATATATGTGTTAGTATGCTGTAATGTTCTTTATCTTTCTGGCTTACTTCACTCTGTATAATGGGCTCCAGTTTCATCCATCTCATTAGAACTGATTCAAATGAATTCTTTTTAACGGCTGAGTAATATTCCATGGTGTATATGTACCACAGCTTCCTTATCCATTCATCTGCTGATGGGCTTCTAGGTTGCTTCCATGTCCTGGCTATGATAAACAGTGCTGCGATGAACATTGGGGTGCACGTGTCTCTTTCAGATCTGGTTTCCTCGGTGTGTATGCCCAGAAGTGGGATTGCTGGGTCATATGGCAGTTTTATTTCCAGTTTTTTAAGAAATCTCCACACTGTTCTCCATAGTGGCTGTACTAGTTTGCATTCCCACCAACAGTGTAAGAGGGTTCCCTTTTCTCCACACCCTCTCCAGCATTTATTGCTTGTAGACTTTTGGATAGCAGCCATCCTGACTGGCATGTAATGGTACCTCATTGTGGTTTTGATTTGCATTTCTCTGATAATGAGTGATGTTGAGCATCTGTTCATGTGTTTGTTAGCCACCTGTATGTCTTCTTTGGAGAAATGTCTGTTTAGTTCTTTGGCCCATTTTTTTATTGGGTCATTTATTTTTCTGGAATTGAGCTGCAGGAGCTGCTTGTATATTTTTGAGATTAATCCTTTGTCTGTTGCTTCATTTGCTATTATTTTCTCCCAATCTGAGGGCTGTCTTTTCACCTTGCTTATAGTTTCCTTTGTTGTGCAGAAGCTTTTAAGTTTCAAGGTCCCATTTGTTTATTTTTGCTTTTATTTCCAATATTCTGGGAGGTGGGTCATAGAGGATCCTGCTGTGATTCATGTTGGAGAGTGTTTTGCCTATGTTCTCCTCTAGGAGTTTTATAGTTTCTGTTCTTACATTTAGATCTTTAATCCATTTTGAGTTTATTTTTGTGTATGGTGTTAGAAAGTGTTCTAGTTTCATTCTTTTACAAGTGGTTGACCAGTTTTCCCAGCACCACTTGCTAAAGAGGTTGTCTTTTTTCCATTGTATATTCTTTGTCCTCCTTTGTCGAAGATAAGGTGTCCATACGTTCATGGATTTATCTCTGGGCTTTCTATTCTGTTCCATTGATTTATATTTCTGTCTTTGTGCCAGTACCATACTGTCTTGATGACTGTAGCTTTGTAGTAGAGTCTGAAGTCAGGCAGGTTGATTCCTCCAGTTCCATTCTTCTTTCTCAAGATTACTTTGGCTATTCAAGGTTTTTTGTATTTCCATACAAATTGTGAAATTATTTGTTCTAGTTCTGTGAAAAAAACCATTGGTAGCTTGGTAGAGATTGCATTGAATCTATAGATTGCTTTGGGGAGTATAGCCATTTTGACAATATTGATGCTTCCAATCCATGAACACGGTATGTTTCTCCCTCTGTTTGTGTCCTCTTTGATTTCTTTCATCAGTGTTTTATAGTTTTCTATGTATAGGTCTTTTGTTTCTTTAGGTAGATATACTCCTAAGTATTTTATTCTTTTTGTTGCAATGGTGAATGGTATTGTTTCCTTAATTTCTCTTTCTGTTTTCTCATTGTTAATGTATAGGAATGCAAGTGATTTCTCTGTGTTAATTTTATATCCTGCAACTTTACTATATTCATTGATTAGCTCTAGTAATTTTCTGGTAGAGTCTTTAGGGTTTTCTATGTAGAGGATCATGTCATCTGCAAACAGCAAGAGTTTCACTTCTTCTTTTCCTATCTGTATTCCTTTTACTTCTTTTTCTGCTCTGATTGCTGTGGACAAAACTTCCAAAACTATGTTGAATAGTAGTGGTGAGAGTGGGCACCCTTGTCTTGTTCCTGATTTCAGGGGAAATGCTTTCAATTTTTCACCATTGAGGGTGATGCTTGCTGTGGGTTTGTCATATATAGCTTTTATTACGTTGAGGTATGTTCCTTCTATTCCTGCTTTCTGGAGAGTTTTTATCATAAATGGATATTGAATTTTGTCAAAGGCTTTTTCTGCATCTGTTGAGATAATCATATGGTTTTTATCTTTCAATTTGTTAATGTGGTGTATCACATTGATTGATTTGTGGATATTAAAGAATCCTTGCATTCCTGGGATAAAGCCCACTTCGTCATGGTGTATGATTTTTTTAATATGTTGTTG